TCACTCTACCCATTTCATATTTCAACCCTAAGTTAGAAATAAACCTAGTTAGGAAAGGAACCCTACCTCTTGTAGCATATATCCGCGTAGGAGAAGTCCCAAGAATCCAAAATCAAGCTCCAAAGCTTTATATCAAATTTCCCGTCTTTGAGATCTTGGCGAAATCCGCAATCTTTGGTATGATTTTGTAGGTCTCAACGCATAGAACAACTTTTGTTATTGGCCCAAAGTGATCCGATGGTTCGATAGTCGTAGATCGGAGGAAGAAATTGAAGAGGGAGAGAGTTTTTTCTATTCTGTATGTCTGTCTCTCTCTCTCTGAAAAAATAACTGAAGTAATGAGGAGAAAATTTTGATTTTTCTCCCCTTTTTATACCCTTCAAATACTTGGCCTACAACGCACCACACTTCCCTCTTTTGATTGGTCCAATTTTATCTTGAATTAATTAAATCTCATTTTGGGTTAAATTTAGTATTTTTTTTATTAAACTAACTTTAAATTATTTCTCAGGTCCCGCAAATAAAATCTGATCGCGTTTATTTTAGTCATGCGATACCCAATCATCTCGTAAAAGCTGACTGGATTGATACCCAGGCCTGTCGTGAAAAAAAAGACTGAAATGTGGTGACTGAGGTATCTGGCCTTAAGTGTAGTTGCTAATGGACTAGTGTGTAATATGGTGGATGTGATGTACTATTGAAGTTGTACATGGATGACAAAAAAATGTGAAAAATTCCGACTGCATCGGAATTAGACAAAAATTGACTAAGTAGCTAGATTTCGTGAGACAAATCCAACGGTGAGGTCCATTTCACCATCTGAGTTCTAAAAAAATTTAGGTTTACAACCCGTACCATAACGACTAATTATTGTTTTGCCCTTTTTAATAAAATTTTAATTTTCTCAGGTTTTACAGATGGACAAGATAAATAAGGGAGAAAAATCAATAATAGGAATTTTAGAAACCAAGAATTAATATATCTTTCACAATAAAACATGTATTTGGAAAAATTAGGGTTTTGAAAATTCAAGAACTATATGTTTCTTGAATGCAAGACATGTATTTCGTTGAAAATCACATGTTACTTGAAAAGAAATCAAGATCGAACAATTATTTAACATATAATAGTCAAGAAGTTTTAAAACATACATAAATAATGTAAAACTCAGGTAAATTTAAATTTTTATGAAAAATGACAAAATGATAATTTGTCACTACGGTACAGGTTAAAAACCTGAATTTTTCTAGAATTCGAAGGGTGAAATGGACCTCACCGTTAGATTCGTCTCACGAAATCTAGTTACCCAGTCAATTTTCGTTGAATTTTAAGACAGTTAGATTTTTTGTATTTAACAAGGCGATCGGGTATTGCGTGACCTAATAAATGAAACCAAGAGTTAAATTTTAAAAAATGAAAAATAATTTAAAGGAAGTTTATATAAAAATATTTTAAACTTGAACCAAGACGAAATTTAATCATTTTGAGATGAAATCTGACCCAAGAATGGAGGATGTGTGGCGTGACGAGGGCTAAGCATTCCAAGGAGTATAAATAGGGGAGAAAATCATATTTTCTCTCCATTCAGCTAGGTTTTTACGTTGACTAGGGAAGTGAAGAAAAAAGAGAGTTTCAACTTCTCTCTACGATCTACGGCGTTTCTTTGGTCGAATCGACTTGGGCCAAGAATAAAAGTTCCTCTTTGCAATGACGGCTACGACTATGTACAAAAAATCGCAGATTTCACCAAAGATTCAAAAATAGAATTTTGAAAGAAATCAAGGTTTGAGCTTGACTTGTGTTCTTGAAGGTTTCTACAACTTGTTTTTAAACTTCAAGAGGTAGGGTTCTTTCCTAACTAGGTTTATTTCAAACCTAGGGTTGTTGTATGAAATGGATAGGGTGTTAGAGGTGTAATCTCTTGTGTGACACTTACCTATGATAGTTGAAATATGGGAAGTGGGCATATAAATGGGTAAAATTAATTCTAACTTGAATTGGGTATATAGAAATTATTTGATGTGATTTTTTGAGGAATGTGATATATGTGGGTGTTTGATAAAATTCCTTGAATGATATATGTGGGTGTTGATAAAATGCCTTGAATAATTAAAGTATATTTTTTTGATGAAATTAAAATAGCATGCTTGGATGATGTTGTAGATTGTAATTATATGCTTATTATATACTTGATAATTAGGAATGTTGAATGAGATAGTATGTTGTTCATTATGTGCACATGACATACGAAACATGATGTGAAATTACAATTGAGATCTTAGCTACATAAAGATATGAAATGCAAATTGTACATTTACATTGCATATGCACAAGAAATATCGCATTTGTGGGTATTGACATGAGTGTGGGTGTGTGTGCATAGTTTGATCAAACACCATTCTTGGTGGATAATGCATGGGCTTGGATAGTTGGGTCGATGGTTCGACTGAGTTGCATGGTTTGCATTGAAAGTAGGGCCTGAGTTAGCAAGAAGGGCTAAATTGTCCCTCGGGTACAAGACCTGGTGATTGTATGTGCACTCCATTAGTGTATAGTCCATAAAATGTGTCGGCGTATGCGGAGCCATTGCTGGAAGTCCGTTAATGTCGTGTCAGTTGGGTGCCCGTTGGTATGAGTCCATAAATACCCACTCCAAGAAAGACCCGAGATTTAAATTGGTCATTAGATATCCAACATCAATGGCAGGGGCTTGGAATGTCTGAATTTATACGCATGATATTTTATATGTTGAAGGAGCTGGTAAAGACTCGGGTTGAGTTTCATTTGTGAGTTTCATCTCATATCATGACATGACTTAGAGGATTCCATTGTTGAATTGTATATTCTTGAATGGAGTGATTGTTGCTTATAAATTGCATATGAACATTTCATATAAGTCTAGGTTGGGGAGCAGCCTCTTTAGGAACCCTGTTGAACGTGGTTCACCCTTTATGGGGACAATATTTCAGGTGCGGGACATGTGCCGGTGGATAACTCTCACTCAGGCCCTCATTGTTGAAGAAGAGTCGAGATGTGGCTTTTAAACTATATTTTTGTAAAACTAAGATGTAATTTAGTTTTTGGACATGTAATGTTGTAAGAGATTGTAAAGTGAACTCATATAAACTGTAATTTGCTTAAAATTGATTTTATATGAGTTTGGATTGATGTCACAAAAAGTTGGAATAGATTGAAATTGAAAAAGGATAGAATCGGGAAAAAACTTGGAAGACCCACCAGTAGAACAATGGGTTCTTCTACTAGTAGAATTTTTCAGTAGGTTTTTCCTACTGGTAGAACATCAAGTTTTGCGGCAGAACATTTCCAGTGAGTTTTTCTATTGGTAGAACAATTCCAGTAGTCTTTTTCTTCCGGTAGAACTTGCACATCTTCTACCGGTAGGTTTTCTTCAAACTTCAAAATTTTAAATGTTTTGTTATGCTTTCGGGCCTTGAGTCCTCTTACTTCAAGGGGTAAATGGTGTTATATTAAGAGTAATTGATGTATATTAGACCTTGGATGGATCTAATATACAGGTTATGCATTTAGAAGTGTCTGGTATAAGGAAGACTCTGCCCAAACTTTGTGTTATTGTGATCCCGGTAAAGGGGATGTTGTGTCATGGTGTCGAGTTATGTGACATTTACAAGTATTTTTGCAGGTAGATAGGTAATCAACGGGTTGTCAAAAGACCCCCTGATTTTAGGGGCGTCACAAATAATACTCTAAGTCTCAATGAAAGAACTTGAGAAGAATTTTCTACCTTTAATCCATTGTTTGTGTGTTGTGCTAACGTGTTTTGTTGTGATTCCTCGTTTTAATTAGTCGAACTATCTCCCTCTTTCTTCTCTCCAACTCCTTCTAGCTTTCTAGGGTTGAAACACTATCAAAATAGACTAAACTCGTTCATAGGGTATTTACAGGACCCCTAAATCAGAGATAAAACGCTACAACTGATCGGGCTCAAATCAAGAGGCGCGTTCGAACGGCTATCATGTGTTCAAACAGAAGCATCCATATCACATGCGCGTTCGAATGGCTAGCATGAGTTTGAATGGACACTCGTATCATCAAAGGCACCGTTCCAGCGGACCTTATGTGTTTGAATAGTGGAAACACTCTAGAATTCCCCTAATCCCACAATTGCGTTCAAACAACACTTCATCGTTCCGACGGTGGTCGGCGTTATCCCTGACTTTGGCTCGAGTTTGACCTATTTATCACTCTAAATATATTTAAAAACTCAACTTCTCAACATATTTTATCTTTTTCTATACTTACTACATGCATAATTAATCCTTCCTTAATTCATTCCTACGTCATCACATATATAAGCAATACAAAACAATTATAAAAATTTAAGGAAGATAGAGAAAAGAGAATGAATTAAAGAAGAAAGATGAGAAAAATTGAGAGAGATGAATTTAAGAGAGAAGAGAGAGAGTGCGATGTAAGATAGTTGCCAAGGGTATATTAGTAATAATAAAAATATCTGAAAAAATAGAATATACTTGAACTCCAAAAATTCAAGTGCAAATGTCCTTTAATCTCTAATTAAAAGTGATGCCTATTCTTTAAACAAAAATATTTTTGCCTAATGTACCCACAACTAATTTTTCTTTTTTCCGCCTTGGAGCTAGTTGTATTGGGCTTTTAGTGTCATAACCTAGGTTAAGCTGAGAAGACTAAATGGCTGAAATCTGTTGGTATATAGTGTTTAATTCGTGTGTTTAATGTCTTTTACTGCTTAATTTTAGTGATGGGACCTCTTAAAAGAAAGTAATACCTATGGTAGAGTAGTAGAGATATGTTGAGCATATCTCTCGTGCTTGTGACCATTAGATGCTTTTATAGATTGATGTATGTACCAAGTCGAAGTGCGATATTTTTCAGTATCATATTTTTCAAAAATAAAAAGTTTTTTGTATCATATTATTTTACTTTACTTTAATATTTCATGATTTATGGCTCAACAATAGTTCTTGGTTTATTTTAATATTATGGTGATTCAAGTTCACATTTTGAACCCTGATCAGGCCCAGGCGGCGCGACCAAGTTTTGGGGAATTACTCCTTGGAAGGAGTAGTCAGCAAGGTTTAGGAGTTGAAGGAANTATTTTCAACCCTGATCAGGCCCAGGTGGCGCGACCAAGTTTTGGGGAATTACTCCTTGGAAGGAGTAGTCAGCAAGGTTTAGAAGTTGAAGGAACATGCGGAAGGTTTCTAAGATGGGGTGCAATGGTTCCAATCAACCTCTGCCCTTCGAGATTGAAAGTAATAACCCTCTAGTATTTTTATTGTGGCCACATGTGATACCAGTCCATTTGCAAAAAAGGAGAGAAGCATTCCATGAGGCCAAGGTTCCTAGAGGATCTTCAGTAATTTAGGACTTGAACTCTGGCAATACAAGTTTATTAGTCTCATTCCCAAGTCTAGAACCTAAAATATATTTTATGAACAAAAAGTTTATGAAGATGAAAAAGAAGGCATGGAAGGTCAAAGTGAAGAACAGCCTTAAACTAACCATTGACTTCTTCATTTGAGAGGCAAAAAAGTGGTCGCTAATGATGGGCATGAAAGGAATCATATAATAAACACAGCAAAATTTTAAAAAAATAAATATTGATTCCTCATTACAAGATCTATNCAAAGGAATCATATAATAAACATAGCGAAATTTTAAAAAAATAAATATTGATTCCTCATTCCAAGATCTATTCATATTTAATACAAACTGAAAAACCTTAAATCTATAGAAAATATTAAGGGTTATCTCTTGAAACGTGCTTTTAACAATCTTCAAGTTTTTTCAAAAATTTTGAATCTTAAAATCTGAATTTGATCATTACCTCAAGTCTCGCAATTATTTGGTCTCTGTCAGTGTCCACACGAATTAACAAACTTGAAAGAACTACCTCAACTTTTGATAAATTAGTAGAGAGAGAATGAAGTTGAATTTTTCCTGTGCTGGCAAGAGACACCTCCTATATGAAGGTATTTATAGAGCATTAAAAAACTGTAATCCTAATTTGGATCTAATTGCAATTATCTCATAATTACATATAACTCATTTATTAATTATTAATTATAATAAAGTTCATAATTAACTCTTAATTATGTTTTCACCCCAATTAATTCTTAATTGGGGTTCTCTCCTTTATCCTTTAGTTTTCAATAAGTTCTATTATGTTTGATCCTATAGATTCAAGCATAGCCAATTGTAAGCATTCAATAATAACTATAAGTTGTATCTCAAATTCAAACTCTTTCTAATTTAATTTGGATTAGAACTCTTCTAATTCTCCTCTTATGAAGAACAATTAATATATTTATATTAATATTAATTTCGTTCTTTGGGCTTCTACTAATCATGAGTGACACCTAACAGCATATCATGATCAACCTTTGAATAACACAAAATAGGTGAAGAACCTATTCAGTCTAAAGTTGCTATGTAATTCAATCATTTTATCACACAATGCCCCAATTAAATTACTAGGTATGTAATTACTGTCAAACTCCTAACTCAATCTTATGTGTTTGATCTTAGGACTATGACTCTTAATGATCAATTAAAATTTTTTTTTTGAATTGTCATTCTACCTTGGCCAAGGACTCCTTGAGTTATATCATAGAAGATTACACAGGACATTCTTTAAGAAAATGAGTCTCTCTTGACTTGGTATAAGTTTGAATCAAAGGTTGAAACAATTTTTTTGAACTTTTTTACTCAAATTTAAATTGAGTCTTTCGGAAGCCGGTACACCAAATTAGACTTCTTAGTAGATAAGTCCATAGTGGAAAACATTTTGTAAACAAATCCTCTAGTGATTTAGAAAGACTTGAATATCCTTTTAATATATAGCAGTTGTTTAAAACGGTTTTGAAAAATCAAAACTCATAATAAATCCTCACCATAACTATGGGTCTCTCTTTCTCATTCCTTTATTTTCTTTTTTTTTTTTAGGGATTTGTTTCAAAATTTTTGGAAATCTTTTGAAATTTGACAACTAAAATTAAAGAATTTTAATTATCTTATTTTAGAAAATACTAAAATTAAAGAATTTTATTTTGTATTAGATTTATTTTGGTCATGTATATATGTGGGTAATATATTTATATATGTATATAAAAGTTCTAATATGAGAAAAACATAATTTCTATTTACTCATACATTGTTTTGCTACACTTTTAACATCTATAATACATGTTTGTCTCATTGGCATATTATATTGCTACACTTTTAAGTTTTGTTAAAATGACCTAATCGTGCAACTCTTTAACCCTTGTCCGGATTGGATTAAATGGTTGCTGACACTATATTGATGCATTTTTAGATTAATAATGCCTTGAAACTTATTTCTCACTGTATTGCAACACTGTTCTAGTGTATGGAAAACACCATCCAACGTGGTGTTCTTATACCAAATCGAAAGTTGAGAAAAAAATATATGAAAAGGTAATGTCAGCACATGGGTGGATAACCAACAAAAATAAATAATGTCTCAAAACAACACCATTCACTGTGGGGCTCCTAGATCAAATACGAAAACTGTGAAAAAAAAACCTTCAGAATAACTATCCATAGTATGAACAAAAAAATTAAACAAAAAATGAATGAAGACATAAATTCAAACCTGATAATGTGATGAACATTGAAAAATAAAAATAATGTTATGTTTGAGCTTTTCCAAATGATAATGACCGGTACTTTGGAGAACAAAAAGAGATACAAATTTTGTAAAAATTCAAAATGGTTAAGTTATACACAATCAACGTTAGATACAAATTTTGTGGTAATTTAATTCTTCTATTATATTAGAAAATCTTTAATATAATAAAACTAATTCAAGAATCAACTTTACTGCCAAAAGAATTACGCATGATTTAAGGGAGGACAAATATGTTAAAGAAAAAGCATAAAAAATCAAATTGTGTACTTGGACACAATTAAGTTCTAAAAATAAAGAGTTAATTACCTAACATTAAGAGTTATGTACTTTTTAACTAATAACTCTAATTTCGTGTACTTTCTTATAATTTTTTATTTAAATTTCAGTCTAATTTTGAGTCAATGTTGGAGTAACTTCAAATTTAAAAGGTGCAAGTTGACCAGCAAAATAATAATTTATGGTCTTCTTTGGTACTGTAAAATTACCCAATAAATTATTATTGCAATTATCAATTAATTAACAGATAATAAAGTATTAAGAGAGTAAGGATCAAAATATCGTTTCGAAACGGTCGAAATATTTGAAACATTTGGAGACCGAAACGAATCAGTGATGAAATCGAAATTCTAATATTTCGAGGGATTTCATAATGTTTCAAGATATTTTATAATATTTTAATGCATTTGTACAATTGTTTCGAAATGTTTCATAGTATTTTAAATATATTTTAATATATTTTGATCAATATTTTAAAAAAAAAAATTTTAAAATTTTTATTTTTTCATTATATTTTTGAAATAGATCGAAACATTTCTGAAACGCGTCGAAATATTTTCGTTTCTTAATAAATTGAATAATGACCACCTACGTCTAAAGTCGGTTCCCACGCTCAAATATAGAGTTCTGATTTCAGAACCCACAAACAGAATCGAGCAAACAGTCGATCCTCAGAGACAAAACAGCAAACACCTTCAATGGCGTTTTGCATGTCCTACTTGCAGACGACGTGGCCGCCATGCTTTTTCTTTTTCTTTTTCTTCTCTCTCCAGCAAGAACAAGGACCCACCACTGGTGGGCCCGCACTTAGCTGGACGATAAAGTCGACCGTTGAACATATGTCTTCCTTTAATAATGAGTTCACTTTCGGTACCCACAAAATTGTCATTGTCTGTTTCTAACTTTTTTGATTTTAAAACGCTCGGATTTAGCTGTCAAAGAAATCAGTTCAGGTATATTCTAAGTTTTGTTCCCCTTTCTTTATCTTTCAACTTAAACAACCTTTTGGATCTTTCGCTAATTTGAACCAGTTTCAAGATTCAATTCAACTCTAAAACTGTTGGGTACCCAGAACTTCTAACACACAAGTTCTGTAAGATTTGGTTACTCTCTTTCGAATTAGCTATCTTTTAACTCTAAATTGCCTTGGGTTATTTATTGTGAAGTCATTAAGGTAGTTACCATGTAAAGATTTTTGTTTCGGTAAAACTGGGATAAGTGAAGGATTATTTCTTTGCGAGATACTGGATTCTTGAATAGATGAATACATTAATGTAGTCATTAGAGCCTTTTAAGCTATAACTTTTAATCTTGAGTTGTGCACTCTTGGGATGAGATTGCTAAACTAGATATAAAAATTAAGAGATTTATATGTACTTTTCGATTTTAAAACCCTCGGATTTAGCCGCCAAAGAAATTTAGGTATATTCCAACTGAAACAATCTTTTGGCTCTTTCCCTGATTCGAATCAGTTTCAAGCTTCAATTCTGCTACAAACTGTTGGGTATCCACTACTTCTAGCAGAGGAGGTAGGTAAGATTTGGTTACTCTCTTTGGATTAGCCATCTTTTAAATCTAATTGTCTTAGGTTGCTTCTTTTTAAGTCATGAAGGTAGTTACCGTATTGTCATAGTTAAAGATTATTTATTTTCTACATACTAATTTCTTAGTTATTATGAGCTATTACCTTTTAATCTAGTGCCATGCATTCTTGGTATCAGATTGCTGCACAAGGTATAGAATTGAAGGTTTATATATCCTTTAAAGTTCATTAGTTTTATCCTGGAAACTTTAACTTTTAAATTTAAATCGACAAGAATCAGCAGTTTTGGTTCTGTATTTTCCTGGAAGCGTCATGGCTAGTACATTACTACTTGTCCACAGCATATTACCTGACTGTCCTAAATTTGTCAATGCAGAACATAGTTTCTGAGGATTGATTTTTGAAGAATCATATGTATAGGAGGCAATGTCACACTTTGGTGAAGATATTGATGCAGTCTTTCAGGGTGCAGGAGCAAAAGTGTATCCTTAATCACACTATAATTCCACTGGTAGATTATGGCAGTCAATTGTATTCTGTCTATCATATTAGTTTAAAACCTATGAATTTCTTGTATTGTGTGTCATGCCAAGATTTTAGATTCTAAATTACACGGGCCTGCCAGATGACTGAACTCTGATACAGTTGGCAATTCAGAAGAATGTATCAACTATCAGAATGTGTCATTTCTCAACTGATTTATGAACACAATCGCTAGAAATTTGGTTCAGGCAAAGTTAGTGGTGTGGCATGGTATGCATGGCATTTTGTCTTAATGGAAGTAAACCCATATTTTTGGAAAACTAGCTTACTTTTGAAATCTCAACAAGCAAACCGTTTTACAAAAACAAAGAATGAGACAAGCAATTGATCATTGATGTATATCTTATGTAGTTGCAAAGGACCTGAGATAATGTGGCCCGGCCAGAGTTAAATTGTTTCAGGTTTTTGAATTTGTATAAAAAAATATATTTTTTTTGGGAAAATAAATTTGTTTTTGTTGTCCTTTACTAGATATTATTTTACTGGCTAGCTAAGTTGCATTCATTCCTTGCTTTATCCTTGACATTTCTTACGTTCAGTGGTTTAGAAATTTGGTGCATAGAGAAGTTTCGGCTGGTTCCAGTCCCAAAGTCTAAACACGGGAAATTTTTTTCTGGAAGTGCATATGTAATTTTGAATGTAAGTTGTCAGTTGTTTTGAAGCTTTGGTTTCTCATGACTGAATTCAGAAACACATTTCTACTTGGAATTCAAGGTTAAGATTTTCTCAAGAAAATGAATTTACTTCTAATGCTGTTGAACTTTTATCAGAGTTGATATGATTTGTGTTGTGAATGTTGCAACTCTTGAACATGTGTGTGTGTAGTTTCATCTTTCTTTTGGCAATGAACCTGAGTTTCTTCTTTTTATTTTCTTTGAGACAGACAGTTCTGCATATAAGTGGCATTCCTCGGCATGACATTCATTATTGGCTCGGAAATGATGCAAACGAGGTTTTTTATTTCTCATCTTTTTGTATCTATTGCTTAAATACAATTCAGGTTGCAGTTAACAATCTCTTACAAAATGCAAACTAGAAACGTACATTCGAAGGAATACATAATATCCATCTACTAATTGACTNGTCTTTTTGTATCTATTGCTTAAATACAATTCAGGTTGCAGTTAACAATCTCTTACAACATGCAAACTAGAAACGTACATTCGAAGGAATACATAATATCCATCTACTAATTGACTACAAATAATCACTTTGGTATGATGATTGTGCGATTTTGTCCATCAAGTTTGTTGTGGTTCTTGGTTTCTTTTTTTTTTTTTTTTTTTTTTGGGGGGGGGGGGGGTTGGTTGGTTGGTTGGTTTGGAAATGGTGAGAAGGAGCTTCCGGTTAACTGCCTCTCTTGGCCCTGACCACCTTTACAAAATTCATTGGTTTAACATTCTGTTGACAAACAGAGGCATTGCTTTTAAAGTAGGACCTTGGACTTGATTTTCATTATCTAGATTCATTTACGGATGTTGCGTGGTTATTTACTGAATTGGCAGGAGGACACAGCCCTGGCATCAGACAAAGCTCTTGAATTGGATGCAACCCTCGGCTCCCATGCTGTACAATACAGGGAAGTGCAAGGCCAAGAAACAGAAAGGTTCTTGTCATACTTCAAACCCTGTATCATCCCAGTTGAAGGAGTCTTTTCTACGGAACCAGGACATGTAGACAGTGTAAAATACCAAGTCACCTTGTTAAGGTGCAAGGGAGATCGTAATGTTCACGTTGAAGAAGTAAGTCTTGTTTGGATAATAATAAATGAATTGTAGGATTATGACTTCACTTGGTCACCTTAGAAACAGTAAAGCCATATTTGTGGCACTCCTTGTTAAGACAACATCATATGACTTAGCTGGTAAAGTGCAAAGGTTGTGTATTGAAATACGGGCCCAAGTGACAAGCACATTTTCTTCTGCGATCTACTAAAGATTGGATATTAGATCCATGTTCTGGATGACCTTCCATATGGCAGAGCTAAAACACATATTTGTGTCTCTTTCTTGCTTACATGTATACGATATGTGTCCTTGGCTGAGTTGCTAGAGTCATTTTCCTAGGCACAGTTATTTAAGATGATTTTTCCTTTCTATGCTAATGGACTGTTAAATTTTCTCTTCTGCTCTGACCTCCTTTCTGAATGCCAACTAGAATACTGTATTGTATCTAGGGTCTAGGCCACATGAGTATGGTTTCCTTTGTTTCTTATCTAATCACTTGTGCATCTAATTGACATGTCTGCATGCTGACCAGGTGCCTTTTATTCGATCATCGTTGAACCACAGTGACGTTTTTGTACTTGACACAGCATCCAAAATTTTCCTCTTTAGTGGATGCAACTCCAGTATACAAGAAAGAGCTAAAGCTTTGGAGGTTGTTCAGTATATCAAAGAGAATAAACACAGTGAAAACTGTGAGATTGCAACTATAGGTTGGAACTTGTATACTCTGTTCATATTTTATTCAAGCAATAGATAATGCAAATCTTTAACTGCTCAGATATTGCAGATGATGGAAAATTTGTTGGTGATTCTGACGTGGGGGAATTCTGGAGCTTATTTGGTGGCTATGCTCCCATTCCTCGGGACTTGTCCTCCACTGGTCTGGAACAACCTGAAATTTCAAATGTAAAACTGTTCTGGTGAGTTTAGGCCGAGTTATGAAGAAACTTTCGTGCTATTGAAATTTGAAACTTCCTGTGTCTTTCCATTTCTTTCGTTTTGTTACTTTTCTTTTTATTTATTTTTCTTTTCTCTCTTTATTGTTTTCCTCATTTTTCTTTGGCTCATCAATGTTGCCAAGCCTGTATATGAGCTATTTTGATAAAGTTTACTAAAGATGGGGTTAAATGGAATTCATATCATTTTATTGGAGTCTCAATGATCACCAGCAATCCAAAAATACTCTATTCTTCTAGCTCCAGTCTGCACTTTGATCTGTTTAGAGACCTTCACTTGTCTGAGATGATCCTTGAAAATTGAAACAGCCAAGTCAGTTGTCCCAGATGCAATTTCTTATGCACCATCACTGCGTTCCCCCAATATTCATTTTTGTCAGAACATCACTTCTTTTTTTGGGATTGCTTTAAGGTTTTATGATGCACAGGGTATCAACCCAGGGAAAACTATGTCAGATTGGGACTGATACTTTGAATAAAGAGATGCTTGACTCAAACAAGTGCTATATGTTGGATTCTGATACTGAGCTTTTTGTTTGGATGGGAAGAACTACCTCAATTACGGAACGGAAGACATCAATCTCAGCTGTCGAAGTAAGAATTCTAGTTCCCCTGTTATCTATCTCCGCATATGCAATAAGTGCAATTTTAATGAAACACTGTTTAATGTGTAAATGCTTTTTGTGCACATGTACAGCATGGTGCATAAGCACAATGGCATGAGTAGTGGTATTTCAAATAGGGAAAAATGGGGTTGCTAATTGGGACAGTTGGTTCTGGCATCATTGAGAGTATTAATGGTGAAATTGGTGTAGACTGTGTGAATCGTGGGGGATATATGTAGCTAGAAAAGGACATGAACATAGGTTGTGAAAATGGCTTAAATCTGCTAATTTGATTAAGTTGTGCCCTTCAAAAGAGTGGTATTGCAAGCCTACCACAAGTTTCAGGATATTCATAGTGTGCAATCTTCTTGTTATTGTTGACAACCAATTATTATATAAGCCTAACGCCCCCTTATTTGCTGCTAGAGCCTCTCATGAGGGTTAATTTCCATGGAGGTAAGAGGACTAGCTTATGACTTTCCTCCTATACACTATTAAGAATCAGTTATCCTAAAAGCTTAAGTTGTTTGAGGATAGTCTGACTAGTTTCTTTATTTCATCAATAATCATGGGTATTTCATCATATGTTCCATTGTTGGGGTAATGAGATGTTAAGGCAGATTGTTTACCAATAATACTTTAAGCTAGTTTGTTATCACTTAAACAGGTAGGTACTGTGTGACATTGCAGCAGTTATAAACTACCATTCAGGAACTAAATTCAAACCTAGCTTGCGAAATTATGAATGCGCTTGAAGCTGAATAATGTCAAGGGTTGTTGGCAGCCTTTTAAGGGGTGGTTGCCAATGAACTTTACACTTATACTGTGTTTAGTCTTGCGACTCTATCTTTTGATAGGAATTAGGATAAGTGAGTGTCCTATTTTATAATTATTGGTAAAAATCATATAGGCATGGTGTACAAGTCGAAAGATGAGCTTTTTATTAACTCTGAGATGTTGAGCTTTCCAATATAATTATTTTTATCTATGCCTGTAAAGTGACATAGATCGGCCATGGAATGCTTCTACCTCCCAAACTAATTCTTTGCTATGTAGAATTTTGTTTGCCCTCACCCTTGAATGACCTCTCAAGCATACAATACCTAAGATTTGTCACAGTTGTTTAAAATGATAACACAGTTAAGGAAGTCAATTGAATTCTTGGAACTGGTATTGATTGTAACAGCTCAGGCTTGCTCTTTGCATTTCCAATGGCATATTTCTGCCCTTGACTATTGGTTGCTCGGCTACAGGATTTCCTCAGGTCTCAGGGCAGATCAGTTGGTACCCACTTAACATTTTTAGCTGAAGGATCAGAAACTGCTATATTTAGGTCATACTTTGGCGACTGGCCTCAAACTCTAGAGCCAAAGTTGTATGAAGAAGGTCGAGGAAAAGTAGCAGGTTATCTTCCTCTTGTGACAAATTTCTAAAAAACTAAACAAGCAAAACAATGACTGTAGAAGAACTAATCACACAGCATATGGCTGGTTCTGAAGTGAGAGGGCTTACTATAATTGGTAAATCCTTTAAATTTCAGCAATATTTAAGCAGCATGGTTATGATGTGAAAGAGCTTCCCGATGAAGATGACCAGCAATTTATGGATTTTAGTGGCACACTAAAGGTAATTTCTTTAGGAAAAGATTGGCTTTTATTTGAAAACATGAGCTTGTGTCATCCAACATTTTCTTTAATGCTATCTTAATAATTAGGTTTGGCGGGTAAATGGTCACGAAGTATTCCTTCTGCCTCTCGCGGAACAGACCAAGCTTTTCAGTGGGGACTGCTATATTGTTCAGTTCATATATCCTGGCGATGGAAGGGATGAGAATCTATTCTATACTTGGTTTGGTCGCAGGAGTGTAATGGTAAGAATGTCTTATTTGTGAACAGGAATCCCTTTCTTTACCTATTTCATCTTTGTCGACCTTATTTTGGGGTCCTAGTTTAAGCTACTNCCGCAGGAGTGTAATGGTAAGAATGTCTTATTTGTGAACAGGAATCCCTTTTCTTTACCTATTTCATCTTTGTCGACCTTATTTTGGGGTCCTAGTTTAAGCTACTTGTTGCTTAGCTAGGGAACTCTAGTGTATATATATTCTATATGATTGATCACATGTTTAGTAATAGATGATTATGGTAGGTTGCAATATTTGCCAACAGATATTGGAGCTATAACATAAAAATTGGTGCCTGATTTATTCTGGGAATACTAAATGACCAAATTTAGTAGTGACCCCTTTTTGAATTTTGATGCATAAATTGAGTGGGATGGGTCATGGGTGGAGGGCATAAAACTGCAGTAGCATGAAAGTCTCGGAAAGTGAAAGCAAGATTCATAGACTCAGAGGAGAATTTGTATCTTCGTTCATACATAAAAATAGTATGACGTACTCTAGTAATTTGGATATTAGACTGGTGCAAGTTGTCCTGTTGAAAAATCAGTAATATTTAATCTATACAAAGAAAGAAATAGCAGTCAAATGCTTCCCAAATCCTATTTTACTTTCTGAAGCTTATGTTACACCCCCTTTTTTGTTCAAAAATAATAAGTTTTTGCATTTAAAACCCGTTCTATATTCACGAACTTTTCCTGTTCAGTAGCCCTCACTGAACTTTTGATTTATCAACATTTCCTTTTTTATCGTTCCCCCTCAATTATTCATTCGTGTTGCAGGCTGATAGGACCGATGCAATCTCCCATATGCATGCTATCACAAATGCAACCAAGGGAGAACCAGTTATGGTTAGTTTTCTCTTTTGCATTCTCATAATCTAGTCTAATGGTATTCTTTTGTACATTATACTTCAGTAACTTCCAGTTGACTGACCTGATGTTGGTGCAAACTAAACAGATGTCAAATGTTACTTTGTCATCTTCTCCATCTTGACATGGTGCATCCTCACGGATTCTTTTTGCCCTGTACTTACAGAGCAACATGATTCTGTCTAATATTTAAATATATATAGTAAGTGCTGAAGATGACTCACTTTGTCCTAAAGGTGTATCAAAATGTTCTGAAACTACTATTTGGCTGGGGAAATAATTCTTCTTTTGTTCTTTGTTGAAATCTACTGCATTATCCTTGTATCATCTGTCATCTATGTGATGAACCCATTCCTTTTCAAATGGAAAAAGGATAAAAAAAAATTATGTTGGTCCTGTTAATGTGGTATGTCTTAAATTCTGATGTAGAAGCTTTATACCATAAATAGTCTTCCACCATTTCTCTCTCACAGTTTGACAAGAAAATATCAGAAGGGATCTCTACACATATTGTAAAACATCTAGGGGTTGTTTGGTTGCAGGATTAAGGAGTGTAATAAGGAGTTATAACAAATTAAAACTCTTTAATTCAACCTTATACTGCATTTGGTTACAAAAAACATTCCGTATTATATATAGTCTTATTTCAAATACTTATCCAAATAATACAATCTATCCGGACTATTGAGCCGATTATAATACCACCTGTGGAGATGGTATTATAGTCTATTCAAGCGTATTAACTTATAAATTTACTATTTTACCCGCCAAATAAACAAAAACAATAATAACTAGACAAGATTGATGATTTTTTGGTCAATATGTAATTAAAACTATTATTCCATCCTTATCCGGTGTCTTTCCATACACTGGATTACAATGAGTATTAATTTTATCCCTTATTTAATCTTGTGTTTTATCCGCCTATACAGAATTAGCCTTCCATAGATGTCAACTATATCCTTGGTTTATTGATTTCGATCAATTTTCTTCTCCAAGTTCAGTTTTACAAAACGAATTTTGATTAATTGTCCACATATAAAAGAAACTTAAATTATGCCCTAATTTTGATAATGAGTGGTATATCAACTACTATTTGAAACTACTCGGCACAATTACTTTTGTCACATCACACACATATAGATATCTAATAAAACGACTAAGTAAAGTGGTGATCTTTTCAAAACTTGATTTAAAAAGTGGATTTTGACCAATCCAAATAAGTTCAGAAGATAGGTACAAAACTACATTTACAACACCTTTTGGTTATTACAATGGAATGTAATGTCCTTCAAATTAAAAAATGCATCAAGTGAATTTCGAAATATTATGAATGAAATATTCAACCCATTTAGCCATTTCTCTATAGTTTACATAGATAATGTTATCATATTTTTCAAGTCAATTGATGAGCATCGGAAACATCTTATGTCATTCTTGGAGATAGTTAAACACAATGGTTTAGTCATCTGTGCCAGTAAAATCAGGTTATTTCAAACCTCAGTCATATTTCTTGGATATAACATCCAACAGTCAATCATAGTTCCCATTAGTAGATCCATTCAGTTCGCCGATGAAATTAGAGATAAAATCCAGTTACAAAAATTCTTGAAATCTCTGAATCACATTTCAGACTTTTATTAAAGATCTTAGAAAAATAGTTATATCATTGTATGAAAGATTACGGGATCATCCCCATTGTGGTCAACAGTTCATACTTCCATAATTCGACAAGTTAAGAAATATATCAAGACTTTAGCTTGTCTTGGGATTCCGACATTGGTTATGGCAATAGATACCAGATTTTTCTGAACAAATTATTTGTTTCCATTCTGGAATTTGGAACAAAGCACAAAATAACTATGGTATTATTAAAAAAGAGATTTTAGCTATCGTCTTGTATATTTCAAAATTCTAAGATGATTTATTAAATCAAAAGTTTTTAGTGAGAGTTGATTGCACGAGTGCAAAATATATTTTGTAATAAGATATACAAAACATGGCTAGTAAGTAGAGTTTTGCCAGATAACAATTTATTTTAAGTATTTTCAATTTTGATATCGAATATATTAAGATAGTGAAAATTTAGTTCATGATTTTTTTACCCGTGAATTTCTACAGAATCATCATAGGAGATAAGAAATCTGGTAAGCTTCCTACCTCCAATAAACACCAATGTAAACAACTTGCCTTACCAAGCCCAAGTCCAAAGTCTAGTTAGTTACCCATTACACCAATAAACAGATACATTGTTTAGTTCCACCTTAGTTAACCCAATTACTAGTAAATAAATCCTCACAAAATCATATTCGGTCAGACCAACACAGTCAACCCAAAGTAACAAACCAACCGAGTACATTTAACCGACCCAATTGATCTGGTCAATGTTTATCAGGAACCATGCTGGAATTTCATTCCACTAGATCCAGTAAAAACTTTCCAGCTCTACCAAGACATCTTATTTCACACAGAGCTAATTTTCATCAAACCTATTAATGATAGAAAAGATGCTAGTAAAATAGTTTATCATTCTTTTTATATTCTCAAGTTTATCTTAGTAAAAGAATGGAGATCTCACCCTTCTGTTCTTTGAGATCTTCCTGGTCATACCAAACAATTTAGTTATTATGACTATATTGAGTCGTAGTTCAAATTGTTTCTCTATCAGAATGAGTCATACACTCACTCCTGGTTTATTCAATTGACAGAATTTCAAGGGTCAATTTTCTTCATGGTTTTTGTGGTGGTGGTAATAACATGGCCCCATGCTCGAAATTCTTTCTTCTGATGTTCAAGATCAAGATACTATTTCTCCTCTACTTTTAAGGTTAGCATGATTCACAATTCCCAGTATTGCTCTTATTTATGAGTAAATAGTAGGTTCCATGGATCTTTAAATGACAATACTCTATTTCTGCCAACACAATTATCCGCTAATTCTAAGTCAAATGGTGGGCTAAGTTTGAGCACAAGTGCATCATTGATCAAGTTAAAATGAAATTTTAAGTTAAAGTTTCCACTCCAGTTATAGGTACAACCATTGGTCAACCTGCTATTCCACTCATGGTTAAACCAGTAGCTCCCGTAAGCAGGGTTTGTACTTCAGTCAATCCAGCACAGACACTTGCAATAAAACAATTCACAAGTTTCTTCCAAGACTTCCAATAAGTCTCAGAAATAGAAATCTCATATAATTGAACTAGCCTAACAGCTCCTCTAGCAAGTCTGTTAAGATCATGATGCTTCTTTCCACTCATTAGAGGCCTCTATTAGTCACTTGCAAGATCCATTCTAGGATGCCCTGGATGATGATGCCTATGATCTATCTAGTCCGTGAATCATCTAGTTTATAATTCAAGTCCTACACCCATATAAATAAAGAGTTTCAATCAATACTTTTTTCCTCGAAAGAAAGAAAAGTTGTCTCTTAATGAATCATGACCGATAGAATCATTCAATCAAGACTCTTTTCCACTGAAAGGCGAGGGTGAAAACCATTTCACTCAAGTAAATCAACAAAAAACAGAAATAGCCAACCAACTTTTCAGCAAAGTCAGAGTTTCTCCAAGATTAATTTATATTCATTAGTGATGGCTATTGTGGCCTTCTTGCTCCCTCAAATGACCGAAGAAAACATTTTCATCATATGAATAAATGTTTAGTCTAGTGAACTCTGACTTTGCTAGAAAGTTGATTAGCTGCTTCTGTTTTTTGTTGATTTACTTGAGTGAAATCTCACCTTTCGGTGGAAAAGAGTTTTGATTGGATGATTCCGGCCGTCATGATTCATAAAGAGTGCGAACTTTTCTTTCTTTCGAGAAAGAAAGCATTGATTAAGCTCTTTATTCACATGGGTGTAAGACCTGAATCATAGACTAGATGAGTCACGGACTAGAACAATCATAGACATCATTTAGGTCCTGCGCATCCTAGAATGGATCTTGCAGGTGACTGACAGAGGGCTTTAATGAGTGGGAAGAAGCATCATCATCTTGACTGGCTTGCTGGAGGAGCAGTTGGGCTAGTTCAATTAATTGAGATTTCTTTTTTTGAGATTTATTGGAAGAAACTGTTGATTGTTTTAATGTAGGTGTTTGTGTTGGATTGAGCGGAGTAGAAACCCTGAGAACAGGAGCTACTAGTTTAACCATGATTGGAATAGCAGGTTAACTGGTGGTTGTACCTATAACTGGTCAATGATACGCTGGTACTTAAACTTAGCTCACCATTTGACTTAGAATTGGTGGATAACTGTGTTAGCAGAAATGGAGTACTACCATTTGAGTATCCATGGAACCTTATATTTACTCATAAATAAGAGCAATACTGGGAACTGTGAATCATGCTGACTAACCTTAAAAGTAGAGGAGAAATAGGTAACTTGATCTTGGAGATCAGAAGGAAGAATTTCGAGCAAGGGTCCATGTTGTTAACTAAGAGTAAGTGTATCACTCATCGTGATAGGGAAGCAATTTGAACCATGACTCAATGCAGTCATAATAACTAAATTGTTTGGTATGACCTAGAAGATCTCAAAGAACAAAGGGTGAGATCCCATTCCTTTACTAAGATAAACTTGAGGATGTAAAGGGAATGATAAACTATTTTACTAGTATATTTTCTATCATTAATAAGTTTGATGAAGATTAACTCTGTGTAAAACAGGATGCCTTGGTAGAATTAGAAAGTTTTTACTCGATCTAGTGGAATGAAATTCCAGCTTGGTTCAAGGTAGGCATTTGACTAGATCAATTGAGTGAGTTAAATGGGCATGACTTGGTTCAATGATGAATAGGTTTTGTGCTATGAGTTTAGGAATGTACTCGGTTGGTTTGACCGAAGAAATAGACTTGACCAAATATGGTTTTGTAAGGATTTGTTTACTAGTAATTAAATTAACTAAGGTGGAACTAAAGGATGGACAGACAACATTACAAAGAATATAGTGTCTGTTTACTAGTTGTAATGGGTAATTGGCT